AGTAAAAAGGTTTCCGAGGCTGCTTACACCAAGAAGGTTTACATGCATATCCTTCAAAGAACGAAGGTATCGCCCAATTTTTCTGTAAAATTCCTTACCCATCCGCTATTTTAAATCAATCATTTCTTTTTTCCTCTGGCACTTGCCACTTATTGAAATTGGTCACCGGTACTGCTTTCTGTCTCTGTCCTGCGATATCTGAGCTTGAGAAGGATGCGGTTAGGAAAAAAAACTTAATGCTGCAGAGCAGGCTCAAATCCTTAGGTCTTCAACTGAAGGAAGAACACCGTGCCCTAGAGTGAGCCGGTGGGCATCCTGGATGTTTATATCAGCAAGTGATTACGTTTCCGGCAGCCAGCAATAACCTGTAATGTTAACATGCGGCGTGACATTCATCTGTCTTCGAGAATAGATGTGCACAAACCGCCTTTAACTTTTTCCAGGAAGCAAAGGAAAAAAACAGGTTCAGCACTTTCGGAGATAAGGCAGTTAGAACGGGTCAGTATCAAACGTAATACTTTATAGTATAAAGTTATAAGATGTTGCTGTCATGGTTTCCCGCTCCAGAGAGGGAGCCCATGTGGATACGTGCCTGGTGTTAGGAATTGGAAGGAGAAAGGATCATCTGTAACAATGGGCTTAGGGAAATATGCGAAGCAAGTGACATGAGAAGGGCTGCAGTAGAGAAAAGGTAAAAGCCCTCCAAGAGCGTGAATATCGGATGGTACTTGCATACCGCACGGGAGGCCCTATATGGGAAAACTTCCCTTCCAGTCACACTCCTGTTATTAATTTTAGGGCTGATGAGGAATTCATTACTTAAGCCGTGACACGGGAAAATATGTACATGCGTTTTCTTTGTGTGTCGACGAAAATGTAATAAAACATCTAACATACCAGTCCTTCAACAATGCATGATTCTTTCAAATGATCCGTTCTAACAAGTTAGGCTCCAAAATGACAAAGGCATCATCTCCGCGTAATGTGTTGCTTCCAGAAGAAAATTAAAGGCTTTGTTTCCAGGGATTCTCGTGAAGCGAATACAGCATGCAAACACTAGTTTTGCTGACTGCTGAGCCGAGACACTACGATAGTGTGCCCACACAAACTTGGAATTTTTTTCAGGCAGCAGCTTGTTGAGTGGCAGCAGGCAGTCGTGAATGATGCTGCTGCTGCAGCGCTTTCCGCATCTTCCGGAAGGTGGAGAAGAATGCTGTGTGTCGAGAAGCTGATTGCAAACTATTTACAGAAGACCAATGTTGAGAATGTGGAGAAATGGCAATACAAAGAAGACACGTTCCAAAAGATCCGCGAGGCAACAGTGAGGCTTTTGTAGTGAAGGGCCTGGAAAGAAAAGTTCGGATTGCCTAAGATTGGAAACATCGCGACGGCGTCTTTTCATGCCTATGCTGTAACTTAGTCGCTGCTGCCATGAAAAGGCATGTATGTTGAGGCTACTCAGGGAATGCTTGATGTTATGGAAATTGTAAATAAGTTTCTCAACGGAGAAGCGGAGAACCAAAAGCTGAAGCTGATAGCGGAAGAAACGGCAGGAAGACTTGAGGTAGCTTGCCCTAAAGGAAAACTACTGAAAATGTCAAGCACCTAACAAGATTGTACTTTAGATCAAAACCTGGGCTGTAATGCAACAGTCTGGCGAGTCTTAGTACGACAAAGGATCATCAACATAATGGGCACCGAGCGAAAGAACAGAAAATGGCAAAAATTTGTTTGGCAAGTGCAAATTTGCTTGATCGAATTCAGTCTTGCAGAAGAGAATATCAAGAGGTCGTCCGATGCGCAGTTGAAGAGCTCGCGCTGGGAAACTGCGCTCACATACGAAATCTGTATGCAGTAAGGCAGCAGTCCAAAGAAGTCATAATTCTGTTCCCAAAACTACTTTGCTCGTTGGTTTGCAATCCTAGTAGTGAATCCAGTGCTGAAGACACAGCTAAAAAATGAAAATTCACAGCTAACAAACATCTGGATTAAGTAGCAACTTTCTCATGAGACAAAGTTTATACTGATGCTGTTGTGCCAGGCACTTGATGTACAGGCGCAGTCTTGGAGTGCAACATTACACACTCACGCAACAAGGTACGCCGACTAGGCCTTGTACCTTCTCAAGCATAGATCCCCATTTCTGAAGCGTGCAGAAAAGGGTTGCTGTAATTCAATGTTTCATTGGAGAAATGCAATATGAGGAATTGCGCGTACAGGCATAACGTCCTGAAAAGCTTCCTCAGTACTGTGGACCAGGCCAGGCGTTACGTAGCGAGTATCAACAAAAAGCTTGTGCAGGTTGGCATTGAGGTGGGCTAGCGCAGAACATCTCTAGAGTTTCCCCACATTCGGCAGAGAATACAGCAACACGGCTCCCAAATAGCCTAAAGGGCTATGATGCGGCGTTCAGGCCTCGTATAACGTCAATGCAGGGTCTTCACTCGAGAGCTACTTTGAAAATCTTCGGAATCACAGCATTCCAGTATTGCTTGGTCTTCAGATAGAAAACAAGCAGAAATTTGCTGGATTTACGGAAGCAGAAATACAGGACTGTGTGCGCGATTCAAAACATTGTGACAGCACTAGGACGCATGATGATCCAAAACTCAATGATCAATTGCCTGCACTAAATTGAAGTCAGTGTCTCTCCTCTGAGGGACCAATCTTCAAGGCGCGGTATTCAGACAGTTGAAAACGGCGAACGCAAAACTGCAGTTGCGAATGGACACCATGATTCTGACGAACACGATGAGAATTATGAAGCACAATGACCTTCTTTGAAGTTAAAGAGTAAAGCAAACAAAGCCTTTGCCGCCACCCGTGCGCTGATGGCTGCATCTTCGCGAACACTTCCTATCCGATCTCTTTTTCACTGTAAACTTGCAGCAAACATAATTGGAGAATACATCCTAGCATGTTGCGGTTAAGGAGCTGCATGAGTCCTAAAATGAGAAGCTTGAACATGTAAAACGCTGCCGCGACTCAAAGAAGGAACACACTGTAAAAATCTCAAATTCTTCAATAAGGGCACTCTGTCAAGCTACTTAATAACATTGAAGTGCGTGTATTTTAAACGCGCATAGGTGCAAGGACTACGTTAAATACATAAAAAGAGACATTGCCGGCCCGCAGCACAGCATCAGTTAAAGTATTTCATACATACTATTTGGCGCATTAAAACAGACAAATTGTGATACCTATGTTGAACCTACGCTGGTGCTTCCTGAGCTTGCTTCCAACACACTAATCCATACAACTAAGTAGAACACTTTTCTTGCGAATTTAGATCCCAAGGGCTTGCTGGAGTATTATCATAGGTTAACCTAATATTACTTTCGAGAATTTCTTTGATATTTGTAGGGAAGGCTGCAGCACGTTTTCCAACGTGTGGCCACACAGCACGTATATAAATGTATCATAGTTTTGATATATATGTTAGCACATTATGAGAATCGGCGTTTGTCAACTGTATGGTATTCATGAACGACGAAGTACAGTCGAGGTCTAATAGCTCCAAAGAAGAGGTACTAAATTTGGAAAGTAAGATGGACGGCTGGCAACCAGTCTTTGCAAGTGGGAACTAGGGCGTTACTGCACTGAAAACAGCAACAGAGCAACACATGTTTCGGCGTCTTTGCGATTTGAAAGGTTTTCAGCCGAAAAAGAGCCAAGTAAATCCACCGCTGGAACATCCAGCGTTATGTTGAGTCGGTTGCCTGCACAAAGCCTCCCTTGTAGAGGCAGGAACAATTTTGTACAAACGACTGCTCTCAGAAGTATATTGCCAAAATTTCCAAGTGAACACATTGCCCATAGGTGTGATATATGCCCGAAAAGCACTAACCAGAGGCAACCACGTGCAACTATGTTCCACGCTTTGAGGAATAAGCAGAGGCCTTCTGTGCAATTGCACCCCGAAAAGGAAGGAAGACAAAATTTGTCGAAAAAATCCTCTGCGCTTTAGCATTTGAGACACAGTTGGCGACAATGTCAAAAGTGCTGAAATCATTAGGTGCACCCACCTCGGCTAACCAGTGAGACTGCTTTATGGAGCAGATAATACACAACAGGAGAGTTCAATATTCTGCTAGAACACTAAAATGTTCAACTTTTTGTGAAGCATAAACAGTTTCAGAGGCAATTTCCCAGACAAAACACTTGGAGGCTTGTAGCCAAAGCGCTGCATGCATGTTGCCGTAAATCATGTGCTCCTTACATGCATACTTGACTCTATGTGGCAAAATGAATTAGTGCCTAAAAGTTCTTTTATTGTAGTTTTTTTCCATGATTTTCTGTACTTTCATTGTTAGTTTTTTTCCGGATCTCACTCGCAGTCATCTTCTAGAAGTGTTGACTCAATGGAGAAGCCAGGTCAGTGTTGATCGTGGCCGCATTTTTGTCTTGGAATATTGTAAGGCAAGAAGTGCTCTTTTACACGCAAACAAGCTGCGAAACCCTTTGGAACCTTAAGGAATTGCTTCCTGCTCTATCAAGCAAGACCGTGCTCTGAAGCAACTGTGCTGCCTTCCAGTACCTCTGGAAAGCATTCGATTCTTGTCTAGGATGGGCTTCAAAGGTGACTTTTCGTTGCTCAAGTTTACCTACCACTTAGGAATATATTTGTAGACGTCCTGTGAGCAAAACGCTCGTGTTGTTGAAACAAATAACATCGGCAGTTTAGAAACAAACGAGAACATCGAGCTGAACGCTGCCTGCAGTCTTATTCCTGCAAGAGTGCTTGGAGAGTGTTTGAATTTGTATCAAAGCCATAAACCTCCACGCAGGGAAAAAGCGCTATAACGTACTTCCAAGGTTTTTTCTGTTCGTATTCACTTGGAAGAAACGCTTGAAAGATTTGAGCAGGTGTGCATATATGGGATTCCAGTGAGTCTCGTGCAAGTCTGTGAAGGCACCAACAGAATCACAGCTTTGTCTTAAGCCTCTCGCAGGTCACACGTGTTCATGCAAGCGTTACGCTTTGTGAATACTAATCTACGATGGCAAGCACACTAGGCGCCACATCAAATGCAGAGGAAGCATGTCGCAGTGAGGGGACGGAGACAGTTGCGATGTACTTGCACGGAAATGTTGCAAAAGCGCTTGCAGAAGGCCTTGCAGCTACCATCAAAGCCCAGCCCAAAGGTAGGAGCAATGGAAGACAGTATAGACTGTGTGATTTTGATACGCGAACTGCACTAGCGTTGGTCTTGCGCCTGGTGGCTACGAAACCCAGGTTGCTTACACTCCCTGTTCTCTGAAAACATTTGCTGGACTCTTAATCATTTTGCATTTACTTAAAGGTCAAAGAATAAGTTACTATACGTCTTTTTGGCCCGTACTCATCAGATCCACCAATATTTCTTTCCCGATGGCTGCTCGGATTTGTTGACGAGCGTCAGAAGCAACTCAAAGGCAGGGTGCCACAGGTCAGAGCCCCTAGGTGCACCCGATCAGCAACATAAAACACGAATTGAGCTATATTTCACCAAATGTGCAGAGCAGCTGCATTGAGGGCTCGCCTTTAGAAATTAGGCTATCATTTTCACAGGTGCAAAGAGAAAGACTGTTATCGCAGGCCTTCGTAAAGAGTTCCAGAGCAGATTTGATGAAGCAACAAGGAGAGCGAACACTACAAGGGCACTTGAAGAGAGCTCAAAGAGATACCCTTGGTCTCCGTGCATCCGATACAGAGGCTATTGAGGCTTTTCGAGCTGTAGAGTGGGTGGACGAAGAAACAATTGGAAATCTTCTTGACTGTTTAAAGAAATCGGTTGGCGCTACTGGCATTTATATGGCAAAGTACGAGGAACAGACGGCTTTCAAGGATGGAAGTACAAATCCGGTGTTGAGATACATTGCCACCGATAAATCTCATACCCACATGCTTGGCCAGTGCCTTCGTGAGGTAATGTTTAGCCCTATATGCTTCCACACTGTCTCCTCTACTTTGTCCACTCACGCCTTATGCTAGAACGTGTATAATCAAAGTAGTACAGCCGTTCACAAACCCACAACTGCGGCGCTTGTACACAGCATAGTAGCTCATAGCGGCAACAAATATATCCACTTAATCTTCCCACGTGCGCGCGAGTTATGCCTGTCACTCGAAGCTTACCTACTGCTGGTGTAAAGCTGAACTGTGGTATCCAAATTGGGCTTCGACATCCGTTTCTTGTATTCCTAGCACTGTCACGCATTCCGTGAAAGATTCCTTGAAAGAGCCCACGATGTACCTACATCATCGTTTAGCGGCTTCTCATGACAAAAATTTCAGGAAGAAGGAATTACATGGGATCTTTTTCAAGACGACGAAAGTGACAAAGATGCAGAAGAGCTAATGAAGCCCTCCAGAGGAGACGGAGAGGACGAGGAAGGCGAACCCTTGGCAGAGGAACAGGAGGAAAAACGCTGGACATCGACAGATACGCCTGAAGCAGAGGCAGAGAATGCATTAAAGCACAAATCTGTGTTTGTTGAAGAAGTGCTAGACAATCCCAGAATCTACTATTTTGGCCTCACAAGGCCTGGAAGCTATATAGCTGTGTCTGTAGAGTTCAATGATGTGGCAAATGCTGAGTCCGTCACGGCTTTGTCTAAATGGCTGAAAGACAAACGAGAAGGAGAGGAAAAGATATCTTTTTCTGGAGAAAAAGTAGAAGAAACTTCAGGAACAGCTAGTCCGTTGACTTCAAACTGCTCGGCCCGAGTTTGTTTACATCTTGTTACTTTTTCTTAAGTTTGTACTGTGCGCCTGCGGAAGCGGAACTGCTTCAAAATGAATATTTCAATCAGCGACTTTCTTGAACTACCATGTGCGCTCAAGTTGAAGTCCAATCACTTGGGTGTTACGCTTGTTTGAAATCCTCGGAAAATGCACAAACATGTTGTTTTTCCGGTTATTTAGGTAGCGCTGAGTCTACTGATGGTGATCTGAACGATGAAGAGGAAGCTCTAGCCAAGGAAAGCAGCTCTCTTGGTCCTGTCGAACTACACAGCACGCCAGCAAAGTACATCCTGTGTGCTGACTCCCTTGGACAGGAAGCAGCATTTACGCAAAGTGCATTCCAATGCGTTCAAACATTTGCGAAGGAGATTGGGAAAGCCTTTGTCCGAACGCAGCGAGAAGCAGTGGAGCGACAAGTGAGATACTATAAACATAGCTGAAGCCAAAACACTGCCGTCGAAGGTGTCTCTGAGCAAAAGTATCTCAAGATTTGCGCGAACGCTGGATTGACAGCTGAAAGGCTCGTCAGGTGCCTCTTGCTGAGCTAGTTGAAAGAGATATTAGTATGCCATTGGTCTCTTTTGTTGACCACTTTGTGCAAAAGGCATATGAGAGGCTGAATACTAGCGAGCTGCAAGATGAAGAAGAATACTTTTCTGAGTTACAGCAAAGGTGCTCAGTGAGGTCGCAGGAGCTACTAGAACAGCTGCAGGCCGAAGCGCTGCGACAGCTTGATGAGGAGGAAGCAGAAGAGGCTGCACACAGCGAGATGCTAAGGCAAGAAAAACAAAGATGGCGACAAAAAAAGTCAGAGAAAAAAGGCCATCTAGAAGGCCAAGAAGGATACAAAGACAACGCGGAGCGCGAAGAACGGGTCGATAGCGAAAGTCTGTCAAGTGGAAAAGACGATGAGGAAGACGATGAAACCAATGAAGAAACGTCGGTGACTCCTCCTCTTTCCAGGCAGTGTGCATTGGAAGCTGCAGCAGCGCAGGCTGCACTCCGGGCATTCAACGAAGAAGTTCTCAACCAGTACAAGCATAGGCTGTCATTCCGTGAGTTGTCAGTGCGTCTGGACAATCGTCTAGCCACCTAATGATGTTGCACACAGCCAACAAGAAAAGCCTGGAGTGGCCAAGTAGGCAGCTTCCACGACAAACATGCTGTAATCATTGCGTTATCTTCTGTTTGATTAGGCCAACGATACATTGCAGACTCTCCGGGATTGGTGTCAGCCGCTGCCGCATGCGCGCTTCTCCTAGGACACGAAGCCAGCGCACTCAAAGAACATTCAAAAGACGAAAATTCCCAGTGGAGCTGGAATCATCTGCGCCGGCTTCTAACGCCAGCCTTTGCTGAAGCAATGCTGAAGTTTGACCCTAGTAGTGAGCAGTTCCGGGGAACTTTGGTTTTGTCACAGCCTCCGGCGTATCAGTTGCTGCTCAGTGCCGTGTATATCTAGTCGAAGTCCTCACTGGTGTGACTTGACATACTTGCAGCACCTAGGCACTACACGGACAAAGCGAGCAGCTTGACATATATCGCCGAGTTGATAGAGGATGAAGCTAGGGAAGAAGATGATCAGGCGCATCCATCAGTGCAAGTTATCCTTTCTTCATGGGCATCTGTGAGCGATGTATAATCCCTGTAACGACTTTTAATATCATTTTTAGCAGGAAGCTTTTCAAGCATAGAAGAGGTTCGCGGTCACAGTAGAAAAATAGAACCGTTGACTCTTCTGGTGTGGAATTCCCAGCATGCTGTAAGGGCGAGAAAGGCGGAACTTGTCCTAAAGCGCGAGAAGATAAGGCGAATTGCTTCTGTGCACCACGCTCCCGTTCCCATACTCCACGAAATAGACTCCGACTTTGAATGTATTGAAGATGAGGAGCTCTAGCTCCTGCATTAATTCAAAACTTGTTTTGCCCACAGCACAACGATAGTGAGGATTTTCCGCAATTCAGGGAACAAAGAGCTTAAGTATAGGCTCCGTTGATTTTTCAAGACTTAAAATCACCAGAAACTCTACTGCTCCTGATTGAAATAAAGATTCGACATCAGACGCGCGTAACAATAGTACTGCGTAATGACAAGTACCTTACAGGAATCACTAAAGATCTACTGAATGTCCCACGATTGGGTTTTGCGGAAAAGCTGCTGCAGGCAGAGGTTCTGCGCAAAGTGGTGAGTTAATAATGGCATAACGGGTTAAATGCTACGTTTTTTTGACGTTTGGAGATATTCAATCGATTTTAGCCTGCTCGGGTCCGAAGCTGCTTGCATGCGCTTCTTGCTGGTGAGCGTTCTGCATCCTGCGTGAGTTTATTCGTTCTCCAAATAGCGAAAAGGCAATGGCAATGGCACGTTTACAAACGCATACACGATTCCTGGTAACTCGCACCTCAATGGCGGCCTCGTGATCTTCCAACTCCTCATCATCTATGTGGCAGCAAATTGCCCTGTTGACCGCACTATGCTGAAGCTTTTCGCATTCCATGACTCGGGAAGTCTAACAAGTGAACAAGCCGCCCTGCACGCACAATCCATGGCAGGCGCAGACAAGCAGTGACTGTGGAGATTGGGGATGCTGCCGAGGCTGACCGAAAACAGAAACGCACTGCAGCGCTCTCAATACCAGGCATGACGTTGCTTCCGAACTGTAGGCAAAAGGCACCTAGTTTCACTAAGCAAAAGCTGAACAAAGACAGCAAAGTTGCAAGCGCTCTTTTCTTGTCGCCTGATACCCGAACGCGAGAAGTGGGGACTCAATGGTGGGTATGCGGGGAACAGTCTGATATTCACGGTTGGCACGAGACCGCAAGTAGGAGCAAGTGTAGGCACGGAGCAAGTGTAGGCACGCCATTCTGGGAAGGATATTTGTAGATACAGTAATTGTCATAAGTGCACATTCCTAACCAGGTAATGAGAAGCTTTTGTACACGGAGCAGTGTATATAGAGGGGAGGTCATTGGCTTTCCGAACGTACACCCACCCACCTTTTAACGTTCTTCGGGATTTGATACAAAAGTTGCTAAGGCAGATGGAGCAACGAACTGAACAACAAAGTTGCTGCATTCCTTTGCATAGTTTGGTGTCTTCGTGTAAGGGATCGTCACAGCGCTTCAAGCCTCCAGTGCTTAACTATTGATATCGAGTCAAGTTTATACTTTTTTAGGAAGTAAAGGCGTAAGTGCATGAGGAAGACAGGGTTCTGCTGGGCGCTGGAGAAAAGGAAGGACACAATGAAGCGACAGACAGAGCGCGTGTTAACAATTTGGAAATTCAGGACAGCGGAAAGCAAAGGACAAGACAGGGAACGGAGTCAGTGTTATGCACCAGGGTAAGGAAGCTGTGCGTAGTTACGGATATATGGTCGGGAGTTGTCTTTGCGGAAATCCGTTCTCGTGCGGCGCGCTAGCTC